AGAATGCGTCTTGGCATGCTGCCGAAAGAGCTGCCAGAACCAACACTTTGCGCGGGAGGCATTGACACATTTGCTGGAGCCAGCGCTTTGTGCCTCCATTTTACCTGTTTGGTTGGGGGCCCCAGAACGATCGGTTCGGGGTCAAAAACAAGCCCGTGATTTGAAGGACAAAATCCCCTGCCCCCGCCCCCACCCCCCGAGTGACCGCATGTGCCTGCGCCTTCTCAGCCTCACGGGCCTAGGGCTGGAAGCGTACGGAAGCAAATCCAAAAAGACAGGAAGAAAGAATCATTTGTCTGCTGACTGCGGGAAATGGGAGCCGACTCATTCTTGGTTGACATTTTTCTTGTGGAGACGAACAAAAAAGGAAGGGGAAAACGAACAAGCAAGGAAGGGGAACGGGTGCCATTGAACAACAAGGAAAGCCATACTGGATCTGATATGCACAAACGCTTGAAAACACAATGGCCCAAGAGAGCTTGGCTAGCCCCATTTTTGTTTGCCGTGTTGGGCATGTGTTTTTCTTGCTGCACCAACCCTCAACATGTTGTTTTCAGAAATTGAAGGCGACCCCGAAACCCCGCAATCAAGATCATGAAGAAAACACTGGCAGCTCCGCACATGCCCATATGTTGCTTAAGTGTGCGCATGGGAAAGCGTTGCACTTGGGAAGATCTCAAGTGGCAGTGGCTTTGTGGAAATCTTTGGTCAGACCTTCCAATTCAAGCTTGCCTTCTTGCTTGTTGGAGTTCGGTCCTGCAGCCTGGTTGCAACATCTGAACCAAAGATGGGCACAAACAAATTGGACAGCATCGCCAAACGCACCAGGCATTCCTTCACCGTGTGTGTACATTTGTTGATTCTGGGTTCACTTTCGCTTATTTATGCACGGAAATTGGTTCTTTGAAAACATGCCCCGCCGGCCTAAGAGAAAGAACCAGGCAACCGCAGGACAAACTGCAACCAGAGCTCCACCTCACATGTCTGAGCATAAATACCTCGCCTTGCCAAGGGAAGAAGAAAGTCTAAAACTTCCAAAAGCAAGAGATGAACACCCAGATAAGCAACGCACGGCACGCTGATCACTCACTGATCGCTCAGAGAGAGAATTACTCATCGGGGGACCATTGTATACCACCTGCGTAATTGGAGCAACCAAACGTGAGGTAGGGGCAAGTTATTCAACCCCCAAGCAAGTGAAGTCTGGCTGAGAAACAACACACAATGGGTGTTGCTGCGTTCAAACAGCCGGTTTCCATGGTCCTCTGCCGGAAACCTGCGCAAGGTTCAGCAGAAATGTGGGTTCAACGGGCGGTGGCTGCATGTCAGGATGTGAATCGCTAGTTGGTTCCTGTCTACCAGAAACAAACACAAACGCAATTTGGCCTGGTTTGCCAACAAGAACTTAAAAAAAAGAGGGCGGTTAGCCGTTACAACAACACCAAAGATGCTTCCCTCAAAAGAACAACGTCATTTACAACCATGGAATTCCGTGTGGCAAAATCAAAACAGCTCGCTTCACTCTTGGTTTTCTGTTGACATATCAGACAAAAGGTATATAGCCTCTTTTGGTCTCTGACCCAACGTATGGGCAACCAGGATGGGCCCCATTCAAGAGCCCAACTGACGCGTTTTTTTTAAAGACCTTATGCGAACCGGTTTTGCCCAAATCTAGCTTGTCATTTGCCCAGAAGACTGGGGGGCCCGGGCTTCCCGCAGTTCCGCGCGCGCAGAGGCTGTGTGGCGCCTGGAGAGGCGTTTTGCGGGAACAGGTGCTGCACCAAAACGGGCGTGCTGTTTCGGGTCGCAGGAATGCATTTGTTCACGGCCAGCGTAAGGTGGCCGTGCAGCGAAGCAGGGCAAAAACAAACATGGCAGGGCAGAAACCTGCGCCAGCGGAGCGAAACAAAGGAATTCAAGCGGAGAAGGATGTCTGTTGTGGAAATATTCTTGAACGGGCCGGCATGAAGCGATTTGTCCGCTGGGAAACCTTGCGAATGGGCCCAGCCCCCAGAATTTGCGTGCTCTGAACGGAGTTCCTTTTATATGTTGCTTGAAGTTTTTACGCTATTTGGTAGAGGGTTTGGGGACTTTGATGCGATTCAACCCGACCGGGAGCAGAGAACGATCAAATTAGGCCAGCAACATTCCTTGCTACACCCAAGGCGCGGGCGCAAACAAAGCTCCCTTGAGGCTCAAGCTGCAAGGTTCGGGCGCCAGGCCGACGCAGCAAGGTTGACTGCGCCAACGCTTTGCCGTTGCCACGCGGGCCAAACCTAGCCTGAAGTTACATGACGTGTGCTTTTTGGAGGGTGTCCAGTTTTTCCCTTGGCACGGCGCCGGCAACAAAGCCTTTCACCCTTGCGCGAGCGCGCCAGCCAAGCCCTTCATTGGCACTTCCGAGCTCCGAAGTTTCACGGGGCAGGGGCCGTTCGTTTTGGCCTTCTTGTTATCGCAGGTAAACAGCTGAGCAGCGAGCACCTTCGGCAGTCGCATGCTCCGCGATGGGTCTGCGTTTGGCATCGTGATGGCATCCGCTGATTTGCGCCACGTGCTGCGTGTTTCGGGTAGAACTCTGTGTCAGAAGGCGCGTACGCCGCCGACCGGGCCGCCAAGCAGCGTGACAGCAATGCCTCTTGGAGTAGAAAAAAACCCTGCCGGGACGAACCTGTTTCAGAAACACCAGCCCCCAAAAACTTCCCCCACCATTCCTGTGAGCTCCCTGGTCAGCTGGTTTCCCTCTATCAGCCAGTTCCCGCTTCGTGTTGGCCGTGTCTTAAAGGAGCTGTTTGTTACAAAAGTCAGAGGTCTGCTCGCCAAGTTTGATTTATACTGGGCGCTCATTGCTGCAAGCGTCAGGCAGGCCGGAAAAAAACAAGACATACAACATGTAGCGCTCCCTTTGGGTTGACCAAAGAAACTGATCGGAGTCTCTCAAAACACAGTGTTTCAATACGAAAAGATGAACTCTGATGAATCCAGCGAAGTCCAAGGGCGCCCTGAATCAGGGGATATCTGCTCTGAGGGCCCTGCTGTTTACCACAAGACACACCCCTTTCCAAGATGCCAACATTTTCCCACAAACGTTGACGGATTTGTGTCTCCTGCTTCGGGCGCTCCGTTTGGGCGAGACTCACACCCAGACCAGCCTGAGGCTTTCAGTCGTAAGAACCGCAAGAACCCCTACGTTTCCCCAACGACCCCAACACGCTCCCCAAGAAAGGTTTGAGAGGGCCGGCGGCCAAATGCAGACCACAGGGTCCACCGATTGGCTTGGGCTCTGCGCTGGGTTTCAGAGTTGGAATCATCTTGCGGAAGCGGCACGGGATTTTGAGGGCCCACCTTGCGGCGCCTTTTGGATGGTGATTCCAGCCCAAAATGTTCTTTGGCTTTGGGTCTACCTTGTTGGCACCCAAATTTGGAGGCGGCAGGTCAACGGCCCGTGCGAGCGTAGGGCCAGCCTTATTTCAATTGGCGCTCCAAAAACAATCCCGCATCTTCATTGTTGTCAATGCGTAGACCTTCCAGCGGCTTGGTTTCATGCCAAAGGCTTCTTGTGTGAGTCCATGTGACAACTGGTGGCGACTTTGGCTATTTCGCAGCAATCAATAACTAGCTCATACACTGCAGGTCACACTAGAGGTTCATATATGGGGAGCACCCATGCGTTAACATCTTTGATGATTGGAAAGCTTGATGCCTAAACGAAATTGCCTTGAGATTAAGTTCGCGGAAGACATGGACGTCGACGACGTTGACCCGCCCGCGAAAAAACACACAGTGAGTTAACTGACAATGCATCGCTGCCCGAATCTCCAAGAACTACAAAAGTGAAACTACACCCACTTAGTCGACTTAGTCTGCAAAGCATCACACACCTGGACGAATCCCCATGTCGGGGAGCATCATCGTGCGGCTCGACCTTGCCTCCCCTCTCGCATTCTGGGTGCGCGTCTCAACTTCTCCAAGTGGTAGGTTTCGCTTTGAGAGCTGTACAGCATGAGGCTTGTTGATCGTGGAGCGCACCGATATAAAGCCTCAAAGCTAGAACTGCTCAGCCCCGATGCGTCTTCTCGTCATTGTGCAGTCACTGTCTCAAACAAGTTTCCTTTCGGCTTGCCAAAGCGATCTGCACAGTGAACACTCAAGGGGAACCCTCAAAAGCAGACCCTGCTCTCGTTTCCCAGTCAGAGCTTGGTTGGGGCTGAGATACAAAAATCATGTCCACCCCCCACCCGTACTTGTGCTTATCAAAACTTGGATACCCCCCTATACTCCGAAAGGTCCACTGACTCTGGCAAAAAGGATGTATTGGGAAGCACTTATATTTGCAGATTAATAGGGGTTGGCATACCAAGGTCCAACCCCCTCGGCCTTTTGGCTGCTTCTGGCTGCCTTTTGATCAAAGAAAGCAAGTTGGTTCCAAGTTTCCTTGTGTTTTCAGAGGCTCGCCCAAGGGCCGGTGAATATTTGCTTTTGGCTCCGTTTACAAGTTTGTTGTTTTGTTGGTTCTTGCATGTTGGGATCAAGGGACTTGGTTTGGCCATCGTTCAAACAACCACCTCGCCCAACCATCCGCCAGCTGCCATGCTGAAAAGGAGAACCAACTTTTGACTTGTCTTTGTGGATCCAATTTCAGGCGGACTCGGCCTCAAGCACCTGTAACAGCAAACTGCCACTGCTCATTTAAACCCAAGTCACTGCCTAAGGAGTTGGCTTTGTTGGTTTCCTCACAAGGGCGCAAGGAACTTCCTAAGATTAGCTGAAGGTCATTGAGAGCCAGGCGGAACGACTTCAAACAAAGGCTGGTCTCGGAACCACGCTGAGCCGCCCATCCCACTCTGTGATACCAAAATGGGTCATTCCCATGACAACTTCATCCCATTGAACTGGCTTTGGTAGATGAGAAAGCGGATCTAACACCAACAAATGTAAATTTCACAAACAAGTCCACAACCCGGATCCAACTTGGCCACGACCCGAAGCCCAACCCGGCGCGCCTGGCGTCGCCCAGCTCGGTCTCCAGGCGCCCGCAGCTCTCAGTGGCGTCCCTCGAAAGCGTTTGATGGGAGACCGCCAACACACTTGAACTTGACTTGAACAGTTTGGCTGAGAACAAGGGCGAAGGGCACAAAAGGGCAAACAAAGCGAACTAAGGGCAAACAACGGACAAAGAACGCGAACAAGGGCAAATCAGGGGAAGCAAGAGCACATGAAAGCAAGTGACGTCAAATGCAGGTAAATGAAGGCACACCAACAGCAACTTCAGGCACCTCGTGGGTTGCTGGGACTTCAGATTGCCCAGCAGGTGATTTTCACCGAATAAGGAACTGAGGCAGGCGACGCCAAAACACATAGACCTCGAGCGCATGATTGTCTGATACTAAGGCTCTACCAGGTCTCTCCTCGCACGGAAAGTGATGACAACGCAACAAAGGGAAAAGTACTGGATATTTTTGCCAGGAAGATCATGGAAATACAACTAAACAACGGGAAGACTTTGCGGAGTCCCTTTGCGTAAACTTTGTCGTGGCTTCGCTTGAAAACCAGCCAAAAGGGGTATGTAGTGGAGTTGGCCCTGGGGCAGGCTTCTCGAGGGTTCCCGGCAGGTTCCGTTGTTTTGCGGTTCGTGGCAGCCACTTTGAGGTTCAAACACAGTGAGCAGGTTCCTCTCCGGAAATTGAAATCTCAACATTTCACAGCTCGGGTCTTGTTTGGCTCAGGTTTCAATGTGCCTCCTTTGAGTATAGAACTCTTATCGGGAGTTTACCCACAACTCACCACGCGAGTAAGAAAGGATCGCAATGAGGGAGCCCCTTCGCAATTCCCTCGCAGTTTGCTACAACTTGGGAGATGAAAACGGCGAAAACAGCGATTCACCGCGGAAGGCTGCCCGCGGAAGGCTGCCCATTTAGCTACGGGTGACATCTTGTGCCATCAGGGCCTTCAGCCAGAAACTGATCAGTGCATGCTGCATGCAAAGACGTGTCAAAGACGTGTCTTTGCCCTTTTTGAGTGTTTCTAGAAGTTTCTCGTTTTCGCGGCCCTTCTTGCTTCTAGTTTCTTCGGGGCCTGTTTGTGCTAGTGCGCGGACGCGGACCCAGCTGGGGAAACCATAGCTTGTAGTGTGCTTTTGGCTGGTGCTGCGTCGCGGATTGTCTCCGCGGCTGTTTTGCAAAGCCTGCTTTGCGGGTGCACGTGCGGATCGGATTTCAAGCATAAACATGACTCCCAGCCCCTCTCGCAACCTCGGAGCATCGAGTTTTCGTACGCGCCTCACTCTCTGGAGCTCCGCCCGCAGGCTGGCCCTGAGGCTGCGGCAACTGGGTGGGGCACTTTCAATCAACCTTGTTGATGGTCAAAGGAGTAAACTGTAATTATGTGAGTCACAGGGTGCTTCCACCAACCACCCCTGCGAAGAGCTCAGCCAGCCCACATTAAGAACAATCACCCTGGCGGGAAAGGGCAAAAAAATACCTGGCGGAGTGATGAAAGCTAGTGGCAACCAAAAGGTGCCTGCCCGACATGCAATTTTTGGCGCCCGACTCTTCACTTGTACGATCAACCAGTCAAATAGGAATCCGAGCCCCCAGCACCATCCCCCTCTGACGCGGAATCGCCCCTGATTGGCGTGGTCCTCCTTTCGCTCAATCCAAAATTCACCACATGTGTAACAGCAACGCACGTGTCCAACCTGCCACACAGATTTTTGTGTTGAACAGCTGCCTATGGACCTCCCTCACGTCCTTTGTGGACTGCCTTCCTGTAAACATGCGTGGAAAGGCTCCGAAGAAGCTGTTCGTTGCCTTTTACTATTCCACACGCCGAATTGTGTGAAGAAGGATAACCCTGGGTGGTTTCTTCTCAGTCTCCCTCTCAAAAGGATAAAGTGACCGAAAACTCAGGGTTGCTTTCTTATATTCCCTTTTTCGGTGGGTTGTAGCATCACCTTTTTGATTGACCCATGGTTCTTTCATCTAAAGCAGCCGCCAACTTCATTGTCCCAGTTCCCCCAAAACCTTTAAGGGGCTGCATGGTTACATAACTTCTCTTATGAGTGGTCGTTCGTCAATCAATGTGGCTTTCAAGTACACACACACAACCCCAGTCTAATGATATTGACCTATTCAGTATTTACCCCAAGCTGCTCGCACAATGCTTGAACCACCACCCGGTCCAGTTCCTGGACAGGGAAACCAAAAACGAGATAAAGCGACTGGCAAGTTCAATCGGTTTGGTGGTTCGAATTGTCCATAGCTGAAAACCAGGGGCCGAAGGGGTTAATGGCCAAGCCTTTCCGTTTGGATGGGCGCGAATCACAGTGCGTTTCGAGACCGCGCCTCACTTCCTGCAGCTCATGCGCCTGGTCTTCGGACCTCAACAAGTGCCAGAGACCGCTGTGTTCTTCAAATTCCCCAAGGAAAGACTCCACCTAGAGGCCCAATTGGATGGCCCAACCTAGAAACATGACAGCCAAATGAAACCCATTTCATGTGTCCGATTCACAGGGAAGCGCTGGTTTGCGTTTATGGGTCCGAGGGCATAGGTGCGGACGGGAGGCTCGAACTCACCAAAGTGCTAAATAGCGCGCGTGTGTTTCTGTCTCTTTATCTGTCCACGTCTCTCTATTTGTGCTTGCGCGTCTATCTGCTCCACGTCGGACTATGTACTGCGCCTGTCTCCATCTTGCCGATGTGTGGCTTGATCTCAGCCAGTGTTCACCCAGCCTCCTTTTCAAACACGGGTCAACCGACATTGCAGCAACAACTCTTAATAGGAGTTAAAGAAAGCTGCGCGCCTCTTGGTGGAACCGGAAGAACCATCATCAACCACCATGCAACTGAACAGGCCAAGGGGTAGCGATAGTTCGCCAATCGGTGAGCTTTGCCCCCGCTTAACCCCAAGTTAACTTGATTGCTAATTCTAGGAAGTAGCTTACTGACACTGGCTGGTTTATAGGGTATGCGCCTTTGTTGGAGGGGACTCTTTGCGATTACGGGAAGCCGCTTTATCAATCTGCCAGGTGTGTTCGGGGGTAAACATAGGCCGGAGTCTCTTGCCCACTAGCGGCATTGCTGGACAGTGGGAAACGGATTCGCCCCCGAAAGGAGGAAGAAGCGCCGCTGGACTGCTATGGATATGGATGCATAGTGTCAACCGCTAGTTGGTTGGTTCAAAGACCATGATGTACGGCAAAGAAAAGGGAAACCAAGCACCAAAGGGACCACACATGGATTCGTCTACCTCCCAAGTCGAATGAGCCATGTCAAAACATGCAGTCGACACACATAGTTTTGCGACATGTACCAAAAAGAACCATAGCCTACCTCGCCTGCTGAGCTGACAGGCCAACACCTTCAACGTTTTCGGCCTTCCCTGAACTTTCCGGGCTCCTTGAGAGTCTCTTGCAAAGCTCACAAACCTTCGCAGACCAGTTCCAACAATCCGCACCTGCATGTGCTTTGTGCTCAGGCGGCAGAACCTGCTCGGCGGAAACTAAGTACTTGCGCATGCCCGCGCTGCTGTTGTCAGCCGCCGGGGACGTCTTTCGGTTCATTTCCGGTTGAATCGGCTCATTTGAGACTTTCTGCTCCAGCTCCATCTTTCTCAGGTCGCCATGTCATGTCTTGTGGTCTTTGGCGTGACCGAGGCATTGCCTCGTCAGGTAGCCTTTGCACAGGTAGTAGACCTTCTGATGGCATGCCTCTCCCAGTCCGCCGATTGCCTTCTCGGGCCAACAGAGCCGTAAGATCCGGCCTGGTGAAAGGACTTCTGAGATATGCCAGTTGAGTAGCAGCCGCCTGACATCTGACACTGCAGCCTTCACAGTCTTCCGTTGAATCGCGCAAACGTTGACAGACGTTGCAAGTGTCCGATTCTCTTCAAGCCAGTCCTGCAGTGCAAGTTTCAAGCAGTGCTCTCCGCATTCTCAGCAATCCTTCTCTTCAGAAAATGGGCCAACCCCCAGGGAAAAGTGTGGGGTCAACCCAGCTTTGTCAGGTATGATTTGCCAAGGGGAAGGCTGGATTCATCAACTGAGCACCGCATGACTAGTGGGTACAACCGGATATTTTCGTTGATCAAAGCTAACCATGCATTCTACCTGATCCTTGACTGTATTCTGGGTCCATTAAAGTGACACCCCTAGAATTACGCCCTAAATGGTGGCTTAAAGGGAACCCACCCCCAAAAGCAATCTTGGGAATCCCCGCAAAATGTTCACGTTGATGGGGCCCAGATCAATGGGAAATCCTGGCAATGCCTGGGACTGAGGAAGGTGCTTCCTCTGCTGCTCTTTTTGCAGACCCGCCAGGCTTCTTTCCTCGCTGGACCTGGGCACGTTCCACGCGCTGGGGGGGGGGGGGGTCTGGTTCCGCTTAAACGACTCACTTTTTGCTGGCAACCCACCACCCTGTGCCAACTTTTGGCAGGCGAATGGAAAGCACAGCCTTATTCTCTTGGTTCAAGACGGATTTCACAGCCGCAAGAAAACACCGGACCTATTGAAGGTTTGAGCGATTTAATTTGAATGGGTCAGCTCCTCAGCAAGGACCAGATTCCCAAATTTGAGACCAAACAGCTCTGCAAATCCCGAGAGATAAAAAGAAGACCTAGTGAAGCCTCGGGCTTCTTCGAGTTCGCGGGGATCTCTTGCGGCGGCCTTAGAGCTGAAGCCTGGTTCTACGTAGCCTACTCAAGCGAAAAGAGCCCAAAAGTCAAAGCTTCAATTTGCTTTTGGCAAGTGAACTGAGAAATCAACTAGGAATTGAACCTTCCCCAAGTTCTGGGGAAGCAGCAGGAGGGGAGACCTGGGGTGGAGCGGGGAATTTGGGTAGGGACTGAAGGGAAGGGATGGGTAAGTCATTCATTGTCCCCAACTCCAACAAACTTCCACCCCCTCTGCCCAAGCTCTGCTTGTTTGTCTCTCGGGTCTTTCAGGAATCCAGATGCCGTACCCTGGCAGTGGAGTTGAACTTTACGTTTCTGGAAGGATTTTTTTCAGGTATAATGCCAGGATGACCGGTACACGCTCCTGTGGCAGGCAAAAGCAACCAACAGCGTCCGTGCCCCCCCCCGCACCAGCCCTTTTGCCCAGTTCGGCAGGAGCCGAATTGCATGTCGACTAGGGGGCAATATTGAAAACACCCAAGAATAGGCCCGTTAAGATCGCGTCTATCACAAGCTCAGCTGCCCATGACGATTTATGGCGGTGTCTTAGTTCTTTGACAAAAACTGCTTTCATATTGTAGGTTTGTGTCAAAATAGGGAACCTCTGCTAAAAAATGGTTTTCTGTTTGGCGTCGCAAACCACCCCACAAAGCGTACCCTCGAAACACACAAGCCCATGATCGGTTCCCCAGGTTGCCCAGAAGGCTTGCAAAATCATTCATTTTGGGTTCCAAAAGCCGCACGCCCCACGCTCCTGAACCGGGCCTGGCTTGCTGCAGCTCATCCCGCAGCACTTCCAGCCCGATCCTGGCCGCGCTTCCCAAGAGAGGGTAGCCTATCCTAGGAGTTGGCCCAATCCCCAGATTCTTTTTGGGAGTTGGGATCCTGCACTTTTGGGGAATCCCCCTGACCATGTGCCAAGTTGATTTAGTTGCCATGTCAGACCGGGAGGGGTGCTGGCTTGGTCGCCATTCTGCCAAAATAGGGGTAATTTCTTTAGCTCCCAGTTCTTTCTGGTCCCTTAAACATAAGCCAATCCAAGAGGGGAAATAAAGGGACCCTCTGGCGAGTCCCACCGAAATGTGGGAAGGGTAGCTGCAATCCCTGGAATGCACGCAATTGTTTAGGCCCCAGTTTCCATTTTCCCCTTCTTCTAGCTCAGTGCTTGTTTCCAAGTTGCTGCCAAGGGAAAGATGAGAAGCATTGCCTTAGTATCGTGACTGCATTGCTGTTATGTACCCTACTTAAGTGTTTGCTTGCGTGCGTGCGTGCGCGCGCGCGGGCGGGCGTGCGTGCGTGGTGTTGTGGAAAATGGGAAAGGCTAGTGGTTTGAGGGTAGAGCAAGCCATGCTCGAGTTTCTTCCACCCCTCAAGGGGAATAATTGCGTGCCTTGGGACGTGCTCTAGGAAACATATATCAGGCGGTACCCCAAGAGTGAAGGACATACAAGGCTGGGTCAGGTTCCCCCCCCCCGCCGCGTACCGTTATTCCACTTTCCCCTGGACATGGAGAGTTTCCTGAAATGGGGGATCCTTAAGAATGGTTGATGTCCTCTAGATGGCTACAACGGGGTCACTATTTTGGATTTGATCCGAATGGACTTGACTTATGCACAATTCATCCACCTTCTCTTAGTTTCATTGGGCGATGCACATGTTTCTCAATGAAGGCCCCCGAACAAATGCACATATCACAGTACTCCAAGATTCAACAAAGTTCAGCTGGACTTCAGCAAGGTTCATTGAACTGCAAAAGAAACTATTCTCACAATATCCCTTTGTGAAGAACGGAAGAACAACACATCAAAGACCGCAAGCAAGAGCTGTCTTGGACTGCCCAAGCTTTGGGTCAATGGATTCACCCGCCTGGCGTCCCGTAGCTCCTCCTGCAGTTGCAAAGACCTCCTCTCCGCCCTGACAAAGGGCGACAGCAAGGAAGGCTATAGTTGTGCGAAACATGGAACACTTTCCAATCTTGGTTTCATTCCCCTTGGCTACCAACAGAAAAGGAACTGTGCCATCTACAGCACTTTCACCCTGGTGTGCCGGGAATTCCTTCGTTCTTTCTTTGGGTGAGATTGCTGCGAAAGGAGCCCCGTCGATGATTTTGAATGGTTTGTAAATAAGGGACGCGCTGCAATGCTGGGTGTCCCTATGTGGGGAAGGGAAGCCCCGCCCAGCAAATGCTAGCAAACCACAAGGCTGTGACACAGTCTTAGTTGCGTCAGTTGTTTGTACTCCGGGTTTCCCCTTTTGACAACTTTTAGCCTGGCCTCGTGTTTTGTTGGCTTCCAGGTCGGTTGCAAGTGAGGAATGGAGGGATTCCTAAACCCTTGTGTAGGGTGAACACGCACCCAATGTGGAGGCGAATCGGCAAGTCTCAGTCCATTTCTGGGGTTGGGGTCCCAACTTACTTAGAATCCATACCAAATCCCCATTTGGCTCTATACTCATTAGATACAGCTTATGGTGTCTAGTGTACCATTTCGAAGTTCTTTTCAAGAGAGTCCAATGGGACACCCTCTGGGTCCTGTCTTATGCTTGGTTAACCCCCTACTCCAAATATCCGCAGCTTTCAGTTGCACACCAGGTTTATCGCTTGTAGGAGAAATGCTTTTTGAATAGATTGGAATTGGTAGAACTAAAACTATTTGAGGCGGTGTTGCTCCTTCTAAAGGCCAGACATGGCGCAGATCGCGCCTCTGCTGCTCTTCCAACTCCTGTCGCAGCCTGGGCTTCGAAACAGGCAGAGCTCCCGTTGTTTCCTTTTCAATCCTCCTCCTATGCGAAGAACACGCACTTGGAAGTGACCTGCATGGTGATGTTGAAAGCCAAAACGAGGGACTCCTTGGGAGCTCTGGCAGTCGAAGCAGTGGAATCACTTTTGTTGTATAGGAGGCGTGGTTTTGCCAAGTCCGATTTTCCTCAATCTCTGTCAGTGACCTATGGGATGCCCTTTGTGGTCATTGCCACATGGTTGAACGGGTAGCAAATGGCCAAGCAAACACCGCATGGGCTCCATGGGGGGAAGGCTAGCACAAACGCCTCCGTCCGAGCCAACATTGCTCGCAAAGAGCAATTCCCAATCAAATAGTATTCGCATTCATCAAACGTATGCCTTAGGTGCCAGTCGCAAAGGGATGTGTCTAATGCAAGTTGACTGCAAGCTGTAGCAGGCAACAGCACACGTGCACACAGAGCACGGTGAACAAACCTTTGCAATAGAGCTGTCATTTTTGGTTTTCGACCCAAATCTAGCCATCACGTATAACGTTTGGCTGAAACAAGGGCCCAAATCATTTATCTGAACATTGAGGCGGGTTCCTCACAAACATTTGGCTAGGAGAGGTTGTGTGTTGGAGGGCCAGGAATGCTTAATCCATTTTAGCGACATGCCATGCTTTTGCTAGCGGCACACGTTAAACAGGAACAGAACCAAAGGATCAAACCACCCAACATTACACGCTATTCTATTCTTTTCTTTTCTGAGGCTGGGTTTGGATGCAGCGTACGGGGTCACAAGCCTTAGGCAGGCTTGCTGAAAGAAGCGACCAGGGTTGAACAGCGTCGAAGGGTCGATGCACATTTTGGCAAGGGAAAGGCTTGCTGAGAAAAAGCAGGTCCTAGCGCAAAATCAAGCACATAATGTGTAAACCTGGCCGGCCAATCTTCCCTACGGTTCCCCAGCTTGCGAGATTTCGTTTGGGGTCGCAAGGACCTGCTCGGCTTCACTCTGCCTCACCATTTCACTCACTGGGAGTGTCGAAGTCTGAACATCGAAGCTAGCCCTCTTCACACCGAGTCAGAAAGCGTTGTAGATGATCTTTCGGCCATCATCCTATGAATTCGGCCCCCACACCGGTGAAGTTGGTCTTGGGGTTGTGGCAAATCCAGCCTGTTTCAACCAAATCCTCCCAAACATTTAAGACCGAGCAACAGGATTCCAACGATAATTTCTCTGCCAACATCAACATCCAGAGTCTCCTTGGTGGGTTGATGCGTCAAAGGTGAAACTGGGAAATACGGCAACATCCTTGAAGAACATGGGCGATACACTTATCCAACCATGACAGGTTCTCCAAGGGCGTCACAGAAAGCGGCAGCCTCAAACCGCATTTTCCACTCCCCAGCAAACGAAAGTGCTGCAGATCTTGCCTGCAAACCCAGAAGAAACAAAGACAGGAACTGGTGAACCATTGAAAGTTACATCCTCTGGTGTCCAACCGGCAAAGCCCGCAGCAACCTCCAATGCCCGCGTCGCCTGACAGCTTCACTCTTCCGGCTCTGCTCCTCCGATGCTTGATCACTGCCCGCAGGCTTACAGTACGTCCAAAAAGCAACCAAACAACAAATGGAAACATATTTACCCTTTTCCGGCAATCATTGAAGTGGAGGTTTGGGGCCTTTTCAAGCAAGAGACAAGTGCGTACAAAGAAACAAACACACGCTCACACACGCACACACATACATGCGGACCAAAATAAAAGACACACACACACACAACGACAAAAACACCAACAGTCGCACACCGAACAACCACCACCTGAACACATGTACACTGACACACACGCACACACACACACACGAGCACTCAAACATAGATGCAAACTCGTGAAACAGGTACAAGGTGCGCAGAAGGAATCGCCCAATGGCTCTGAGAATGGCGGCAATGCGATGCCAATGTATGGACCATAGCGTTGACTGCTATGAAATCACCAAACGAGCCTCATTTGCGTGGGGGTTCTGCAACCAGCAAGCATTTTGAGGGTGTTCCGTTGAAGTCACATCGACGCTTGATCTCCGAGGTCCTGCAACAGAACTGGGGTTGTTTTTCCACGGTAAGACAAATATACAGGAAATGGGTCTCTGGAGGTGTGAACAAAACCTTCTTGGTCCTCGCCCAGCTCGTGCTGCAGGAGCTCCAGCTCCCTCCTGAAAGCAAAACCGGGACCAAAGGGAAACGCTTCACCGAACGCAACTAGTGGTTGAACAGCCGAGAAAAGAGGGTGAAGGTTTGGTTCCCTCTTTTGGACGGATTCAGGTTGTCAACGTGAAAATTCTGGACCCCCTTTGGACCCCGAGAAGCTCAGAATTATCTTTAAGGGGACGCAAAGGTAAACTCAAAGGACCTGGGAGGTCAAGGTCAGTCGTTGGGGGAAACATTTGGATTGCTGCGTGGCACGGCGAAAACACTTTTGAACCAGCCTTTGGAAGTGACACAAGGAGGTTGCTTCAACAGTAGTGATTGTTCTTAGGCTTGGCACAACTCTGTGCTGTCGTCTCCATCTCAGCCTGTCGACATGGGGGGTTTACCTACAAGATCACTTCTCCTGTCTCGCTTGTATGAATCGGGAACTAGCTCAGAGATTAGCTTTGACCGTACATTCTCCCCCTTCTAAACCCGTGCAATTTGGATTGGTCATTTACCGCAGTTCACACCATCTCTAAGCCAGGACTTTTCTTTGTGCGGAGGTAATACCCTTGTTCATGTCACACGAGAAGTACCAAGCTCTCTGAAGTTGGCTCCACAGTGGCCTGGGTTCAAAGCCCAGGGCTCGCCGTAGCGGTTTACGCATTTGTTTCGTGTGTTCACTGGCAAAGGCGGCAAATCAATACTCCTTGTGCTATAACCAAAGGTCATAGCTGTGCAAGCCATGCACAAAACAAACGAGGGCATGTAAAACGGGATCTGTTTTGAAATGATTGGTTCAAGGTTTAAACATATTGCTTGGTTGTGGGCAAAAGCAGAAGTAGTAAGGCTGAAGGAGGTGAGCTCCTGCAAAGAGCACGTCCTGGGGGGTCCTGCTTTTTTGGGTTCCTGCTTGTCTGAGACAAGCCCAGTTTTGAACGCCATCACCCCCCCCCCCCCACACGTAAATATTTTCCTTGTGGATTACCACGCGGGGCAACTCCCCCAAAAGTGATCCAGACCCCCTAAAATGGGACACCTCCCAATTCATCAGCACCCTTCTAACTTATCGAGCCAAAGGATGTTATTTACCGCAAGATCACTGGTCGAATGAATCAACCAGCTGTCAAATAGCGTGGAACATTAGGGCAAGTTGCCATCCCCTTTGGGCTTTCCCTTTGGGCAAACGTAAACATGTTGCTATTGATCGCACCCAGTACCCATCTTGGAGGACTCCCAAATTCAGTCACCATAGGACACCTTCTCCCGCGGAGACCTTCTTCAGGCCCCAATCGCACCAGGGCGTCTCAAAACCCTCAAAGCTCCTGAGCCTTTCCGCCTCTTCTGTCTCGTTGGTCAGAGCCACATCTGCCTGTCAAGAAGCTTCAAGCTGATGCTATGAAGCCCGGGGAAGGTTTCAGGGCTTGAATTGCCAACCACAAATGGTGGTAGGGGGCTCAGAGTCACTAAATCTGAAAAGAGTTGCGCCCGTGAAAATTCCGCCAAATAAAGTGTTGGTTCCCTTGAACATAAACTTCAAAACGGTTCCCTCGAAAACACAACACTATTATGTTTGGCACCCAGTTCCTCACAGAGCGGTCCTTTCGCGGATGTGGAACATCCAAACGAAACTATCTCTAACAACCCACACTGCTGGTGGTAGAAGTGGTTTTGGACACTGCTCACGTGAACCGGGAGCATGCCAAAGTGTTTCCTGTGCAGCATGCAACAGTCTGTTGTTGGGACTCCGTGACCCCACGCGGCTCACGTCAACAGCACTTGAGCAAGCCAACAACCGAGCATTGGAAACGGGGCTTTGCTTGCTCCCTTGCAGTATTGAGGAGCTGCTAGAATTGGTTCCAAAAGGGTGGGGACCTCAAATGATATCTGACAACTCCTTTGGTAGCCCTCACTAACATATAGTCGGATTGGTTTAAAGGGAAACCAAAGTGAAAGCAACGCTCATGCTTGGCAGCTCCATGTCCCCTCTCTTGCGAGAAACCCGTGTGTGTTTAAAGGGCCAAGACTCGTACCAAGTAACAACCCACCAACTAGCCAACTTCATAACGAACGCGTTTCACTTTGTTGGACGCCAGGCTCGTGTTTCTTGTTTCCAAGGTCGTGGTGATACCGTTCTTTTTTACATCCTGGCAGGTATTGGAACAAAGGTCGGGAATCCGGCTGTGGTGCGGGACCCTCAACAAGGGAACCAACTCCGTGAGTGTCGAAGCCCGTGTGCATACTGTCTTTAATCTGGGTTACCAACCGAAGTTCTGTTCGTCCATGGTGATGGTTGGAGGCCCTCTTTTTCCAAGAGTTGCCCAAGGGATTCCCTCCAAAAGCGTCTCAACAGGGGCCTATTACTCCCGAGACCCATTGGGTCCCTGAACAACCATGGGAGTATTCCCCGTGGATTGGCAGCTAACTTCTGAAAAACACACGCACGCCCATCAACCCCTATACTCGCTTCCCCCTATTAATAATTTCGGCCCATTAACAAATAGTGTTTTCCCCACACTGCCGGGTCCCCAGCACTACTTTTAGAATAGGCAAAATCTGACCCAAAACTAAACTGTCGGATGTCTTGCCCAGACCAGCCCCACCCTTTGTAGCGGGCATTCCAGCACGTTGGTTTAACATCATAATTTCATATTTATCTTCTTTTGTTTAATCAATTTACATTTACTTCTTGTAGTATTATTCTCAATTTAAGCTGCGCCTTTTTGTGTTGAACAGCAAAACCGAACAAACAATACCTTGAGCGGTTTTATCTCAATTCATTTCGCGGAGAATCACGATTCTGACTTGTTTCGTGTCCGGAAAGGGGGAGAGCCCATTTGTACGAGGACCGAAGAGGACATCCGGTCGACCCCAAACTACCCTATTGAACAACATCGGTTTGGACCCGATAGTGTACTACTAGGCGACGGGGGGGGGGGGTCCGTGTTTACAGTATAAGTTCTTACAACCTTGTTATCAACTCCCACGTGCGTCTTGACTTGTTGAAACAAAAGGTCCCATTTTCGGTCCCTCACGCGGCAAGACACACCAGGGCCGTACTCGCGGTGCTTTCGGCGCGAGCGAGCCTCGCGCTTACGGCCGCAGTGGCGGCAAAACCTCGAGCAGGGGCCCGCGTGGAAAATGGCTCGATTTGGCCCGTCCCTTTCCGGGATGTAATTTTGTGGTTGATTGATCGCTCGGTTTTTGGGGATTGGGGAGTCCCCACAAGAAAGCGGCAACAAACACCAGTAAATTGCCATGTTGCTGTGGACTAGGGTTGGACATTGACTCACCATCTATCTCAGAACAGGACCATGCCATTGCAAGTAGGGAGCGGTTCGGGAACCGAAAAGACGCCAGAACAATTACAACGATGTATTTCCTTCTGGAGTCTTTTCCATGAGATCGTTTAGAAGGGCGAAGCAGGGAGTAACAGCGGGTATGGGGATTTCCTGCCACGGCTGGAAAGTCATCCCTAAGTTGTCGTGCCTTTCTGAGACCCTGCTTGTTTGCCCCATGACAGAACTGGTCCAGACTTAGACCCCCTGCGAGAGGTGAACTCTTTTCAGGTTCAAGGAGGCAAACCTTAAAGGTAAACTAAAACTGGCCATGGTGCACCGTGCTTTGCTTTGTACCTTGGGCCCCAGGCATAGCGTCCGCCAAGTAGATGCTGCCGCACTCCGGGCAAGATGATGCCTGCAAAAGAATGAGAGACCCCGCACGTGAGATTTGCCCTTGCTTTCTCTTTGAACAGCCCGTTTAACGCTTCTCTCGGTCACAGCAAAAAGCGACCCAGAGACCCCTCCAAATGGTGAAACATCTAGTGACCCCCGGCAGAAGGGTAAAGCTTGGTCGACTCGAATAGACCAAGCGTCATATGCCGAGCCAAAACAAAATTTGACCGTTGGTAGATTTGAACTAAGAAACTACAAGCGATTGAACTTTCACAGCAAAGAGCAACCACGATACGTAAGTTGTCCCTCCAATTCAGCATCTCAATTGCAAGAAACTCCACTCCCTTGATTCAAAGTCAACACCACATTGACATGCTTAAGGATCACTACCCAGGATTTGGGGAGGGGGAGTCAGCGCACAACATGCGGACCAAAAGGATAAACGTGGTTCACCGGGTGACTGTTGAAAGTGCCAAGCATGAAAAAGGAACCAAACAGAAACCAAGAAGATTCGTAATGAGGGACTGGTTCAGAATCTGACCGTTCAATCAGCACCTACAAATCCTTATGTGCCCTTCAGGAATTACCCCATCCAAAGGAAGCTCAAAGAACCTATTGGGATGGTTAGATCCTCACGTCCATAGGATCCAAGCTGACCGTTCAATCGATTTGTCCCAAACGGGCAATAAGGAAGCCCCCTCGAAGTAAGGGGCATGCACGGGCCGAAGCTCGGTTTACCCCTGATCCGCGAGCTTGTTTTAATTTGCTCACAAACGGATGGTGAACTGCGTGGAATTTCGGACCCTCAGATGCCCTGTGAGCCTGATAGAAACAAGCGGGCCATTTCTTCGGGGGTTACTTCCATGTTCAGTGTAGACCCCGCCAAACCGGGAAAAGGGTGGGATCTACCCCAGCCAAACAAAGTTCATTTAAATACAAACAACAGAAGGTGACAGAGCCATCGGATCTTTCACCCCTCAAAGACACCTCACTTGATGAACCGTTGCTTCTCGCCCCGGCCGCCGCCAGCTCTGCCCGCAGCTCCCGCAGCTCGCGCCTGTGAATGAGAGGATCAGTGAATGAGCGGGTGGGGTCTGGGTTCCATTTGAGAGCCAAATCAGCGCTTCGGGTGCTTAAGCAGACCCACAAAACAGGCCAGTTTTTTGGCCATTCCGAGGGGTGACCTTCAGGCTACCAGCCCAATTAGGAGCAAACTCGGCAAGCCCATTTCCCATGGGCCTCTGCTGAACTGCCTCCTCCGCCTGCTCTTCCCGTAGCCGCGCCGCCTTGCGGAACCCGCCAGAAAGGCCGGATTGCCCGAAGCAGTTCAGTCCGGCGATCAGTGGAAACCAGAATTTGCAAATCCCACCTGATTGGAGCCTGGAATTTCACGGATCTACCGCGACAAGCACGGTAAGTAATCAACATGGCGAATGTTTGGCAACGGAACTGTCCCATACTAACCTTCATCTACACAGACTTTAATCGTGACACACGAACCCTCGTTCCAAGCACCCACTTGGTTTAGGGTGCGTATGATGTCCATCCCCGACTGGAAACAAGATATATGCTTCCATGGAACACCTTTAGACATTCCCTACTGCAACAAACAGGCTGGGAATTTGGATCTGGGGTAGGCTTTGTATAGCCGAAAACTGTAGGGCTTCTAACTTCTAATAAAGAAGGGAAGGTGATTTGCGAGATTGACGGCTGGGTGCTGGGGGGCGTGCAGTTTGGGGCGCTGCTGCAGGAGCTGTTGTGGGATGCTGTTTGGGGTGCGTGCAGGCGCACTTTTGCGAGATTGACGGCCGGGTGCTCTGGGAGTGCTGTTTGGGGGGCTGTTCGGGGTGCTGGTGCGGGCGATTGATGGTAGGGTGCTAGAGGGCATGCAGTTTGGGGTGCTGGCGCAGGTTGTTTTGGGGGGGCTAGTGACGGGCGCCAGCGCTTTTTTGCGAGATTGACGGCGGGGTGCTAGGGGGCGTGCAGTTTGGGGTCTGGTGCAAGTGCGTTTTGCGAGATTGACGTCAGGGTGCTAGGGGGGATGCAATTTGCGGATTTCTGCGCAGGTGCTGTTTTGGGATGTTGTTTGGGGTGTTGGTTGAGGTGCTCTTCGGGCAGTGCTGCTAGAGGTGCTGGGGTGCAAGCGTTGACACGTGTTTGGCTATCTTGGGTCTATGCTGGTGTAATTATATTCAAGCGCAATCCATTTCAAAGCCTTCCTAATGTGTCCTGGCTTTCCGGGTCCGAGCTCCTCAAAGCGATGAGGATCGCCCACACATCAGGAAAATATTTCCTGAAACAACTTCAATGGGGCGGGGAATCTAAGTCAAACTGACGCCAATGATATCGCTCATCCCCAGTGGGTTCTTCCTGTTCCCTGGTTTACACCTGCAGAGCCCGGCATAGTTTGAATATAGGAGTCTGTGACAGTCTGTACTCATACTCATGGTGAATGTCAGCACCGCATTCCAGCAGCAAGACTGCAACGTCCACTGGACTGACCCATTCTCCCATTCTGATTAAAATGCAAATGCAGCAAACTGCAAAGGTTGGCTCACCCCCACCATTCTGGCTTAAAAGATTCAAGATGCAGTGGTCAACGTCAGAACTTTCATCCGTTTGTCCAACAATGTGCATTTTCTACGATGTAGACCAAGATGCAAAGCATCTGGCCAAAGCTGACGTTTCCTCCGAGGTCAACCACCGCATCCATCCCGCGAAACCCCGCGGTATTTTCCGCCGACACAAGCCTGCGGGATCGCAGGAGTGAGTCGAGGAACAGTGAGACCAGTTCCCTTCCGAGAAGCAAAGAGCCGGCCACACCTACTCTGCCTCGATACGTGGAACCTGATAGCGGTTTTGTGCCTAAAACAGAACTTGACTCCAGCGCAAGCGTTACTTTTGTTTACTCAGAGCTTCACATCATATCCGAAACACGTGGAGCATTTCGGACATTTAGTAGATGTAGACTTTGACTTAGCAGGAGGTCTTAGATCGTTTCCCAACACAAACAGTCCTTTTTGTGCTGTCCACCTAGCCACCCCTGCCAAAAACTGCCAGCCTTGCTCTGCCGCCAGGCCCCGAAGCTCCGCCGCAGCAAGTCCTCCAACAAGCACGCCAGCAGCGAGCTCAGCTGCCGCCGCGCCGCCTGTAGCGCAAGCCGCGATCGAGCGAGCTGCCTTTTGCTTCGTGCTGCTTTTTACTTCCAGCAACCAAATGAAACCCACATCCATTTAAAGTCTTTGTTGCAAAGCACGAACAATGCCCAAGGACCAACAGTGACGGTGAAGGCCGCCTTGCATCTCCCGTGAGTCTGTACTTCGTGGGTCTAGTAGACCGACTTTCTATTTTGAGTTTGGGTGCTTGCGCGTCTTTTCGTCTTCCTGAATTGGGCAGGTTCCTTCGAGCCAACTGCCAACTGTCAACTAGACATGGCCAATCATAGTTGAACACTCGTCTCCTGAGTGGGTTCGCCAAAAAAGTCCAAACATTGTGTTTACGACACACATACTCTTCCCAACAGTTCAAAGTCCAGAAACTCGGGGGTAAAGAACACTGAAAGGTCAACGTGGAACACCCCCTCACATCAAACAGGGGATTCCTTCCATCAGCCTGGAACACCAGGCTGGCCTTGAGAAAATCGCATGCCAAGGATCTGATACATCTGCCTCAAAATTCATTGAACAAAGCTCCTATACTTTAATTAACACTGTGTTCAAACCAATTTTGTTGAACACACCTCCTTGGATTGGCTCTACCAAGGTGCTCTCTCCGTACGTATCGCCCCGTCGAGTTTCGATTGCTCGCGCCTTCTCGCGGCGCAGCAGCATGAGCTCCGCGGCCTGCTGCGTCGAGCTGCGGTGGTTCAAGCTATGCAGCTGGTCCTCGCGACACGGGCGCAGTGAACCGAAATGTTTGGCGCCCAAATCAATCCTAAAAACATGCTATAACTAGGGGGGCCTTGGGCTTTGCATCGGCTGTCAAAACCTGACAACAAGGCGCACAACTCAAAGTGTTCAAGCGGTTTGTAGAACCTTTGCAAAACGACTAAACAGCAACATTGCTTATCTCAGTGGATTTCACCCTCAAACTTCAAACTGGTCCTCCCAAGTGTTGAGACCCCAGGCACTGCTTTGGCTGCTTGCTTTGGACTTCATGTAGGCTTATTCGGGTTTAAGCAAAAAACAAGGACTTCCACTTGCTTGAAGAGCAAATGCCCGTCTAAATTGAACACCAAACAAGAACACACACACACACACATCTTAAGCAATGGGTATGTCTTTGTTTGAGGATATCCTGTTGGGATTGATATCCAGGTACCTGCACACCACTACCCTATTTAGGGCTGGAATTGCGCAAGCCTCAGCAAGAATCGAGAATCTTTTTTCAAAAAGGAGCCTGGAAAGGAAAGTCCTCTTTCGTTATGGTCTATTAATGGATTTATGGATGTACCCTCTTGCAGAAAGAGTCTTGACCTGAAAGGTCAGTTCTAGGCAAGTGCGGAAAACATAATCATACAAACTACGCATCGTTGACCATGTTTGAGCCCTCTGGGGGCTAGTTGTTCCTACTTAACCCATGACTAATGCGGGATGAAGCAGTAAACCAGGGTGTCATACCCTTTCACAGCTGCTGGGGTGCATAGTGATGACGTATGTAGATGGCAATTTGAAGATCACCAGTCCTGTCAAACATCCAAACACTCTGACTATTCCATGGACCAGCACTGTGACAAGGGATCCCAGTCATAGGATTGGTGCTGGAAGAATTGGGGTCAGCCGTATGGAAACTCTTGGATCTAAACGTTTTTGACCTGGGTGTGAAGACAGGCGGCAAGTCGGAAACCGAGATCGGCCGGAGCAAAACAATGGAGTCCAAGAAAATTCCGCGCAGAATTCACACAAAGCCTCGTGAATGACCCAATGCAAGGTGCTCAATCTTATTGGTCGAAGATTCGAAAACCAGGCTTTTGCCGAGGGCAAACAAAGGCTCTAGTTGGCATAGGGGTGAGCTGGGCTGTTGCCAGTTTGGATAGCAGACCTCACAAAGCAGCTCCCTGCCCACTTTGAGGTCTGGCGAACCCAGCCAACAGTCTCAAGAGAGTCAGTGTGATGTTTTTCTCCTCCCAATGGGTGGGTGTGGGCCTTTTGAGGGTGGGACGCAAAGGGGACACCCACCATTTTAGGGGCTCCCTATTAAGTAAAGGCAAAACTGATGGCTTACCGACTGCAAACCACGCCCGCTCTGCAATTTGTGATTCGCTGACCCTTCTCACGCTCTGTTGTGAACCCCAGGTCCCTCGGGTGAGCTTCTGCGAGCTGCGGACCCTTCCCAAAAACCACGACGGAAGCCAGAAGCTAGCAGTACGAACCATCCGCATACTTCTCCAGACTGCGTACCCTATCTATTTTGCTCTGATTAACACGCATTTTGAGGGCTGCTGTCACAAATGTGCGTACAGTTTTTGCCCTTTCAGTTTGAGGAGAGACAACGCGGGGTGTTTGTTTTGACCAAAAAGGTTCTCAGAAACCTTCAAGCAGAACCGCGAGGAAGGCTGCTTCAGGAAATGAGGGGGGCTACTTGTCACCTTTCCTTCACTACCTCTGTATCTGCCTTCAACCGAAAGTATAAACATGAACTACGGCAGTTATGAGCCGATTGCATGGTTGAATGGTCGGGTGTTCCTTTCTCCTTCCCCGTACAGACTCATTGACCTCGTTTTCCAACCTCGCATGTGTTTGCGATCTCAACCATCTACATGTTGTGGCCCTATCTCGGTTTGGGGTGTCCTGCCTCGTATTCTACCTAGTTCAGTATGCTACTCAAAACATGTTTTCGCCCGCCCTTAACTGTAGTCTTCTGTAAATAAAGACAGTCGCTCATATGTTAGATATCTGTCCTACTCCATTTACACTGAACCTCAACATGCGGATGTCTTTTTTGAGGCTTCTTTCCCGGCAAACTGCGCGGCGCCGGAAAGTTTCCTCCGCCGCTTTGAGGCTCCGCCGCAGCGACGTGCAGGAGGCCGCCTCGACTCGTGAGACAGCACGTGAGAGTCTGAAACATCGAAGTAAACATGGGTATGTGCCACAATGGGACCCGCTAAATGGCGGCTCTCCTTTTTGGCTTGCATTGGGTAAACACAGGACACATGTTCATTTTGGGTCCCCCTTTTACAACACCTTGCACAACAGGTTGCTCTTTCCGCGTGGGCAGAGTGCCATCCGATCCAGACGCTCGTTCCGAACGTTGTGGCGATAAGAGCCCTAGATTTCAAGGGCCAAAGAGGTAAGCTAATCAAGCACAATGGAAATCTGTACAACAGGGTTGCTCCAAAGAATCAATTTGACCAGGATAGAACCTTCATCCGGGTTGCTGGGAAACCACGCAGGCGGAGAACACATTTACAACCCGGCAGGCCTTCAAGCCATCATTCAGAGTGACATTTGCAGGACGTCACTTTAATAGACCCAAACCAAACCAAAAACTCCGCCTACTCCTTGTCTGCAAGGGGCGATGTTGCTGCAGCATCCTATCTTTTTATGTTCTATTCTTACATCTTTGTTCTACATAATATCCAAAAGGGACGTTAGACCTTGGCAGGGACGCTGGGAATCCGAAAAGACGGACCCCAGTGATGTGCTGGGGATGCTGGCGATGTTGCTGCTTTGTTCTGTATGGAATTCAAAAGGGACCCTAGACCTTGCCGTTGATACTGGAGATGCAAAAAGAGCAGCACATGACACCCCCAGCATCGCCGGTGTTTTCATATTATCCCCAGCATCACCTGTGGTCGTGGTGATGTGCGGGGGAGGCCAGGGTTCGTGCCGACTCTTCTCAAAGGCACTCCATCCTTAGAGCCTTGGAGCAATGTGTAGCAACTAGTAGCAACTCACCTTTTTTTTTCTCAAAAAAGAAGCGAGGCCCGTTTCGAGTCGCCGCGCCGCGCGCCTCGGCTTCGTGGGCCTGCCACGCCGCCTCGCTGGAGGTCTGCGCCTCCGCGCACGCGGCCAGGAGCTCCCGCGCCGCCTGCGCGGAGTGCGGACCGTGCGCAAGTTGTGTGCGTGCCATGCGCCTCGGGGGGATGGAAGCTCAAGCAACAAGACAGGAGAAAGGGAAGACAATGCAACCTGAGGAAGAAAAAGATCAAGAAACAAAGAACAAATGGTCGAAAAAGGAAGAACAACAAAAGGAACCCATGGAAACCAAACCAAGCCAACCAAGCGACCCAAACCGGAACAGTGTGAAACAGCGAATCGCACATTGCACGAACCCAAACAGAGAACAATAATGCAAAAAGGCCGAACAAGGAACCAAATAAAATGCAGATATCCCAAAAATCAAAACGCTTTGAAAGGACACCGAACCGAAATAACATTTTAAGGGTTGGTGGTTGGTGGTGATTTGCCAGCTGGTTGGGTGGTTAGGGGGGCGTTTTCCTCTTTTTGTTGAAAGGGTTGCTGGTTCAAATCAACCAACCCAAATTGCTGCCTTTCCCCGTGGCTGGGCTTCTCAGTTTCCAATCAGTAGCAGTTCCGGTGGTGTTCTGCACATACGCCTGGCGCTGCATCGCCACGACACCTTTCGGTTTACCCTTTGACCCCCCTTTTAAGCACTGCCATCTCTTTTGATGTTCACGGATGGGCCAGAATCTAAGATTATGAGTGCCTGTTGGGCGACCAGCCCTTCATTTCCCAGGTCAAAATGCCAATGATGTGGCGGTGAAGTATGCACAATTTCCAAATCTAACATGCCTTTGGTGAGATCTTCAGCCTTCAACTTTCGGCCTTATTGGCGGGGATGCTCATTTCTGGTATGTCAAATGAACTCGTGCTAGCCAGCCAAACTTGTTGCCTTTTTGCGCTTGGGGGGAAGGGAAGATAGCCACCCAGTACGGAGTCTCAAGCATTTTGCCGAGTGTCAGTGCCCACAAGCTGCATTGCATGCTGACTAAAAAATCATGCTGCTTAAAAGGGGGGGTCAAATGGGTAAACCGAAAGGTGTCGTGGCGTCTTTGCAGCGCCAGGCGTGTGATGTGCAGAACACCACCGGGACAAACGCCAATGATCGGAAACTGAGAAGCCCAGTGGCCACGGGGGAAAAAGGCAGCAATTTTGGTTGGTGCCGCTGGGCAATTGGGGAAATACGAGCCTGGGCCCCTCAAGACGCTTTTTGCTCGAAGGTGCCACAATCAGGGTTCAACAAGTTTGGGTAACTTGGATTTTCGAGGCATACGTGCCCCCTCCGCGAAAGCACATCGAAAGAAAGTCAGTATGGCGTGGTGCGAACAGACCTTTGCAAGTTTACGCGAAGAGGGGGCCCTGCAAATGTTCGGTTTCCAGTGGTTTTCCCATTCAAAATTGGATTGTTCAAACTGAATTCTCAGGAACAGTGTTATCCAGCTTTGATCTCCTTGTTTGGAAGACATGGATCATTTTCCCGAACATTCAAAGGCTGGCTTGGTGGAGTCAAGAAGAGGGCTCCACTTCCAGTTTTCCAAAGACAATGAATTTACCCAGGGTCTCGAACTGCTTTGCGCAAATGATGCCTGGAGACAGTTGCAAAGGCCCCCAATCGTTCTGTGCCTTCTTCGCTTGCTCCGCTTCCTCCGACTCTGCAAAAGCTTCCGACCTGCATTTGGCATGGTCAACACCCAGCTGGTTCACCATTCGAAACTGGTACCTGCGAGCTCCAATGTGCTGCGCCAAGTCAATGGCGGACATACGTAGCTGACTCGAAGCACAAGGGGTTGTGTCAGACTAGATATGAAGCATACAATGCTCTTCACAACAGTTGGAAGGTGTTCAATTGTTCTCTCACCAGACGCGTGAATCAGCTAGCTATAAGCAATGCAAACAGGGTAATTCCACACTGGCCGTTTTTTTTTTTTTGTGGCCTTTCTTTTCAAAATCAAACATGCCCCTAGAATGAATTGGGGAGACCAGGGGACTTGGTCCGGTGTCAGAATCCCAGACCTAGCCGGTCCACGGTTAAGATCTGCCTGCATGGCGTTTACTTGAAACAAATCCTCATTTGCGTCAAGTGTAAGATTTCCCCTTTGGCTTTCAAAGGAATGCGTCATGGCTGTCAAACGTGTTTCTGCTTTAGGTGCACTTTCAGCAGATCGGAGAACCCCGGCGTGAAACAAGAGCCTTCTTGGTCTGAGACCTTTGTCCCCTAAACAACCGAAGCCTAACATTGCCTTGAGGTGATTTTCAGACGCACCCACAACTGCATCAACAGACACATCAGCTTTGTATTGGGACCAGGGTTCCAGCAATCCTGTGCATTCTGCAAAAAATCTGACAAGCCTATAGCCTATGGTTAAACAAGCACCTTGTAAAGAAGACATCCTGTTGGACTGGGGTTTCTAATCTGCCGGCAAATTCTACAATGACTCCAAAACCCGAACTCAGAAACATGGATCCCAAGGTAATTGAAGGGATAGAGGGCCTATAGAGGGCCCACATGGCGACCTGAGCCGCGGCCTCAGGCCATGGAGCTCCTCCCGCAGCATCCCGTGCTCCGCCGCCTCGCTAGCCCTGCAAAACGGGAGCCAAGTCCGGAACTTTTTCTGGCTGCAGGACGCACACACATTCAATCGACCGCCTACAAACAGTGGGTAACCGTTTTCGAACAGGGTCTCTGGTCAGCCGGGAAGTGGCACACACTTGCGAGGGCTTTCAACATTAACTTCGGCCTCAGACGTACACTTCCCTTTCTATGGGAACAGTTTGGTTCAACCATACACTTTGCTGGACCCGTATGAAAGTGAATTTCTTTTGAGGACTCCTTTTCTGGGCTCCAGGTGAGTTTGTAGGGGGCAACAGAACTCCTGTCTGTGGGTCATGGTCATGGTCCGCGAAGGAATCCCCACAATCTGAACCCCCCCCCCCTTCATGGGTTGATGACTACCCCGACCAACCTCCTTTGACCATGGCACGCATGAGATCTGACAAAATTGTTGCAGTGAGATCTCCCCAGCTTTCTGGGCGGCAAGGCTCCACAGTACCGGGGGTATCAAAGGAAATTCACTTCAAAAATGGACAACCAATAGCTTATCTTTGAAGCTACAAGGGACATAGAAGAAATTCTGGAAAAGGTCCCCAAAGAAAGCTTGTTTTGGTTGCTGCTCAGTTATCCTGGTTTGGCTTTTGTGCTGAGAATGGAGTCATGAAATCCCAGGGGAGGGCATTGATATTGTGGACATGTATAAGGTCATGGCAAGCCATGGGTACGCCTTCAACAAGTCTTCATGATAGGATCATCCCGCAATGGTATCCCAACAAACAACATCGCCCAGAAAGGAGACGTTTCGACCATATTACTAGTTATTCCTTTTTAGGAAACGGCCAGCCAGAGAAATGTGAGGGTTGTTCAAATGGCGACACCTGTTTTTGGCCCCACTTGGGACAATTCAATGTGGTGAATCTATCTTCAATAGGAGAAGGTTCCCATGTGGATTGGGGGACCATGTTGGGACCCTTGGTAACAATAAAATGAGGGTTGATTTGTGATCCGCTCTCGCTGCTCACAGCATACATCGCGGAACTTGTCGACATCTGCTTCATGCCTCATCAACATTACTGAAGATGTGATGCGATTTAGTCTAGATCCAAATAATGGAAAAAACACACCTTCAACTGGTGCTGTAACAAAAGGATGTGAACAGTGAGGGATGAAGCCACGCTAGCTGCTAATGCATGTATCAATATGTCCACAATAATGTCAGTATACATATAAACATGACCGTCTAACCTGGGCAATCAGGAATAAAAGATAATGACCTCAGCATTTGCACCCGAGCAACCAATATATATATATATATCCATCTATATACACATACACAGTGTTGATCACGGTCCACAGATAGTGCATCGTACAATGTAGAATGTTGTCGAAATAGAACAATGTCATCTCTCACTCCTTGACAAACGACCCTTCGCCTGGCGCTGGCGAGCTGGTCCCTGAGCAACGCGGCCTCCGCCTGCGTCCGATAGACGGATTGGATCGAAGCGAAGATCAGCCAGCCGGGGCCAAGACCTCAAAAGAGGAAACGAAGCAGGAAAAACCAGCGTGGCCCAATTTGCGACCTGCAACAATATTATAACATTGCGCTTGGTTGCTGAGGAACCAAACAGCTTCAAGCAGCAAGTTGAAGACAAAAGGGCTAATGATGAATCAAATGTTAGGGCGAAAGAAGCTGCCACAATTGCCACAAGCCTTGTTAGGTGGCACCCCCTTTGCAAGCGACCCGGGGCTGAAACAGCAGTCTAAAGATGTTTAAGATCACGAACAGGTCAACACACTGTACATATGTAAGGCCTACAACAGGCTTTGTACAAGGCAGAACTGCTGCCTTCGTGTAGAAATATTGATCCCTGCTCATGGGCAAACCCAGGACACCAAACCCAAACATGCAGGAGTCGTTGATCAACTCCAGGAAAAGCAAAACAGGCATCTCAAAAGAGATTGGATTGTCCGTAGGTATGGGCATCAACTAATCTTGCACCCTCCGAGCTTGCTATTTTCAATGGGGATCAAACTTGGACTCAGAAAGTACCTGACATGCCCCTAATATAATCCCCGTATTCAGATTGATGGCTGCGGGAAAGCCATATTTTGATCTAACATGCAGCGGGTCATATCAGGTGGGTCCGACTGTCTGGGTTCAAGTCCGCCTGAAGCCTATAATGAATTTGCAGTTAAACAAAGAGCCAACCCATCGGCTGGGCAATGCAACTGTCACGTGGCAGGAGAAGCTGAGCACAAATGGCGCAAAGTGATGCAGCCCCAACTTCCCCCAGCAAGGCATGATCTGCTCGAAGTACTTCAGATTACCTCTCCTTTAACACCTCAGCAGCAGCACATGCCCAAACCTTGCGCTCTTAGACAGGGCTTTAGGACAAGCGCTATCATTGTCCTCAGAAGCTTGCCTGTCAAGTTGGCAAGCTTGAAACTTGTTGTTGGCAAGTTTCTTAATGTATTCACAAATGGTTTGGTCGCAAAGTTCTGGCAAAATCGTCAACCACGCAGCACAGGAATTGGTTGATTGCCAGAATACGGGAGTGGCTTTTCGTGACAGAGCTTCAGAACCATTTTGGGCTGACTTTGCGGGAGCCCCCGCAAACTGAACAGCAAAGCACTGGTCACTAGGAGCGGCTGGCACATGCTGGCGCCTGGGTCTTTCGGATGAGCTGGTTCAAAGATTCCGCGTGCTCACCCAACTTCCTCTTCGCCTTCCAGCCACCAAACAGGTTCTCATAGGACTGTCATTGGGATGGCCCTTAGCAGACATGCACACACACACACACACATCAATCATTTGTGGGTCCAATTTAGTCCTTTCCCGGTGTGTGTGTGTGTGTCTGTTGGTGTTTGTGGGGTCCCCCTCTTTGTGGGGCAAAGGAAGCTGGCGCATTTGGGGCTCTTGGCCTCGACCCCCAAAAAAGGGCTGCCTGAAGGGCCCTCAGAAGGAGCACCCTGTCATCTTGCCAAGCTCTCTGCCATGATGATGCTTCCCCGATAAACCCTTCTGATAGCAGTCTCAATTTCGTGCTAAAGGGTTGCTCAAGCCTGAGCAGCAGGACTTTTTGGATTGCAGCACATGTGTGTATTGCTCAAAACCACCCAAGCAGATACGACCGAGACTCTCTGGCGCGCTGAGGTGTGTGTGTGTGTGGGCTATCACAACCCAAAGGTGCGATGGTCCATTAAACGGGGGGCACACCCTGAGGAAGCAAAACATCAAGGTTGCAAGAGCAATACACTGGCACGTTGGGAAACCTTTCCACACGTGCTTCCGATCAGGTCACTTACAATCCTCAAAATGGACCCCAACTCCAAACAAAGACACAATCATATTCCCCCAGAGCAATGCGAGAGCCAGTCGGTTCAGCCCAAACAGCCAGGGGCTCTACTCACATAGATCCGTACAATCCGCCTTTGAGGTGGTTTGGGTGGAACCCCCTGCCCAAAACAGGAGAAATTGACCAAAGAGAACACCGCTGGCCGCTTTGTTTTCAAGCCCAAAGAAAAAAAGTCGGGGATTTGGTTGGGTGATGGAGAAAGGAAACACACCAAGCCATCCACTATCCATCTTCCAGTTGCATGGCGCCACGCAAAGTACATGATGTTTGGAGCATGCAAGCAAGGATGAGCCGTTTCACTAGAAAGCCAGTGACCAAAACCACAAGATAGGAAGTGACTCCATACGCCTTCCCCAGTCAGTGGAAGCATAATATTCTCATAAGGTAAAGCCCAGAATCAAAGCCCAGGATTCATACCACGAATCACCCAAGTTTCCTTTTGGGACTAGAAACCATGTTCCACCTTGGATGTTTCCCTTTGGGATCATAAGCCATGAGCCACCTTCAGGCTGACTCTCTTGCGGGGAGGGTTTTGGAGAGTGGCAAGGATTTGGGTGGCTTCCGATTCATCCCGATGTTGCCTGCTGCTCCTCTGTGAGCTCAAGCTGAGAAGCCGCCAGCTCTGTGCGAACCTCACGGAAGTCTTCTGACTGAAAGCCACCCAACTCCGAGACCGCTTCGGTAGGGAGTCTTGCAAAAAGGGACAATTATTCATTTTGGTCACATCCCGTTTGAGGAAAGATAGATACTATTGTTTGGTCCACTTTTCAGGCAAACTATATATATATATGTATATATATATATATGTGCCACGCTTATGTAAGGCAAGTCAGGTCATTGTAGATGGATCTTACGCAAAGTGGGCTCATGTCCCATTGTGGCAGACTTGCACAGATGATTCATTGAGACATTGCCACCCATTTAAACCGTATTTGCTTCTACTTTCTGAAAACAGCTTCTGGCATTCCTCCTGTTGATCCTTGTTCAATCATTTCATACATCGTTTGGTCATAAACTAAATTTGCTCAAGTTAACTTGAACATAGCGTCAGAAGCAAAGTTAGGTACATTGAAACAACAAAACTAGAAACAGTGTCATGATACACAGGGCCTAAGCCACGATATTTCATACATACATCTCTGAAGTGTTCAGAAATGTCAGTCCATGATAGAACATCTGCTTGCACATAGTAGCCATGATGTTCTCATGTGCTGCTGTTCAAATGACCATACTATTTTGTTGTGATAGTCACCATCACTAATGTGATCATCGTTCAACTGACTGTAAACGTCTCTGTGAGAGTACCGTCGCAAGGGTACGAACAATAAAGCAAGGAATGCCTCTGCTGCTTTGCCTGCGCATCTTCGATTTCTTCTCTCAACTTATGTGCAAATCCTTTTCGTCCGTCAACTTACTATCCTGTGCCAATATCAGCCACTCATCTGCACATCCCCATCGTCTGCCAGCTCACAAACCTTGGCCAATACCCAAACACCTGCCCACATCTTATATGCCTTGGTCAATGCCACGCGGTCTGCTAAAATAGTTAATCTCCCTGAGCGAAAACTGTTCTGCAAAAACACCTGCTAAGAAGCATGCAAACCACTGGTATTTTCTGTGCTTCTCAATATCCAAGGGTTAGCGCGGATTTCTAAAACATGTTCTAAATAACTAATTGTCCAATGTCCATATGCTGAACTATCAACAAAGGTGCACAATCAACCAGGAATGACTGAACGCAGACGCTTTAACGCGTTTTAAAGCGCATTGAGATCTAAGATTCAGGATTCAAGACTCTCAATCTGAATCTTGAATCCAGTATGGGCCCCCACAAAGCTTGAAAGCGCCTTGAAGCACTTTTGGAGCTAAGATTCAAGATTCAAGATTCGCAGAAATGAGACCTTGAATGTTGAATCCAGACGGCTTGGTCAATGCTCACCCAATTTCCAGCCTCTCGTCCAGTCTCCTTCAGCACTTTCTCCTCGAATAACTCCGAGACTCTTTTCGAGTTAATGACCAAACCCTCAAAATCGCACGAGAGCAGCTTCATCAACTCCTGGGCCGCCTCCCGCCCTGCGACCGTGGCCGCGGCCTCCTCGTAGTTCGGAACGTACTCGCTCAACCTACTCTTTGAGGGGACCACAATCTGGCACGTGCTAGCCTCATCAGGCACAACTCCAGAAGATCGCAGATCCGGGTTGATTTCCTGCCTATCGGCAAGATAGTCCTTCTTTCCGTCTAGAACCACGAGATTGTATGTCATCTTGCTTGCCGCATCGCTCGGGCGGAATTTCCTGCTTGTGTCAATCTGGCCGGGCGCAAAGGGCTCGGTGGGAGCGCTCGCACTTAGAGATGGCGCCCCTCGTCCATAGCACAAATGCTTCTTGTGGAAGTTCACCATCTAGCTCGCCTTCCCGCCCCATCTGGCCGCAACCAGCTCAGCAGACTTCGCAGGATCAAGCAAGTTACCCGACCATCCGGGCATGTCGCTCAGCTTCCTTGTCAACGCGTCTATCGACGCCGTCAAGTCCTCGGTCGTCACAGTGTGTGGATCAACCGTTTCCCTGTCCTCCTGGCCAATGTCAGGAAGCCTGATGTCCCCGCGGATAGCCTCCATCGCGGCCTTCTCGGCCTCCTCAGCGTCCGCTTGAGTTGCCACACCCCTGGAAATCAGGAGCGCTACTTCGGCAGGCAACGACTTCTCCATGTCGATCGGAGTGTTCTTGGGAAGGATCCTTCGGTCGTCTCCCTCTCCGCTGTACTCATAGGTGGGGGCAGTTTTGCGGTATTCCTCAAAGGTAGCGCCCGAGAAGTTGGTCATCTTGCTCGGGTCCGCCCGCCCAGCCTCAGTCTGAACTGGCAATTGTTCATGTGTTTAAAGTTTTTTTTGCATTTTGCATTTTTCCAGTTTTTCGCGGGCATTTGTTGCTCGATTTATGTCGCTGAGGTTGACTTTAGAGAAGTTAATTGTTTGGGTTTCAAGTTGTTTTTCGGTGGGAAGGGGGGGGGGCAGGACGGGACAATAATAATGCGCCTGTGTGCCCATTGTTGCGAAAGGCTTGATTCCTGCAGCATCGTTTTTCGCTGGCTGCTCGCCTTCGGAGAGTCGGAACGGAATTATCTTTTTTCATCTCGTTTGTTGTTTGAGGGCTCGGTGGCTTGCCCCGCCCCACCCCCCCTCCTCCCAAGCCCATCAATGATTGACGTTGTTGCGTTTGCTTGCGCGGGTTCGGTGGCTTGCCCCGCCCGGCCCCCTTAAACAAATCCTTTCGCTGGTTTTGGCGGCATGCCCCATCCAGCAATAGGGTGCCCAGCTCCCCCTTCCTCCAAAGTGAAGCCCGCCAACGATTGAAGTTGTTGCATGTGCTTGTGCTTGCGGGTTCGGTGGCTTGCCCCGCCCGGCCCCTACGCCTTCTGCAAGCAAGAGGGAAGGCGTCTCAGGGCAAAAGAGTCTCACAGGAAAGCTGTGAGCTGACGAACGGACATGCGTGATGCGACGCAAGAGCCGCCCAAGTCGTAT